GGGGGTGGGGCGAACACTTCCCGAACCATACAAGCGATTGGGCAACTCTATAGCCGCCCAAACGCTTGTATGCATCAAGCTTTACCGCTCCTGATCACACATGGGAGGAGGGGTATAGGGGAGGATGTTCAAAAACGCCCACCTGTTGTTGGGAGTCAGCCTTTTGGTCATTTAATTATAACTGCTGCACAGCAAGTGGTTAATAGTCACTGAGGATGTTGATACTGAAGTGACTCAAGATAGTTATATGGCTACAGTTTAACACGGGCAGTCCGATTAGGTCCACCTGTCATTGCATCTGTTCACATCCGAATACCCCTGACCCCATACACTGCACGATTCTCGTACGAGAATCGCAGGAAATCCTGCGATCATACGAGAATCATGCAGTGTGAATGAAGACGTGCGACCGTTTCTACTGTACGGTCGCACATCTTTTGTCTAAGGAGCATGCTAGAAAACCAGCCGAGAATCGTACGATTTTCGACTGGTTTTTAGCATGATCGTAAGATCAATGCCGCTTGGGCCGGTGTGCACGCGCACACTGCCCGTTCAGCATTACGGTCATCGGAAGCCCGCCCCTCAGGGGGGCGGGCTTGCGATGATCGCAAGTACAATCTACCTGTCCAAGATGGGCAGATCGTACGTTTTTTAAATTACTTTACAACCATCGCAAGACTAAGGTCTTGCGATGGTTGTAAAGTGTATGGCCACCTTAGGTCTGGCAATAGAAACGGAACAGAGTTCTGTTTTGGCGGACCTGATCATGACAAATGGAGGTAATCGGATGTTAGCAGACACACGGCCGCTTACATTTGACTCGCCATAGACTTAACATGGGTCCGTGCAGCTCAGTTTTTTCCTCTGTTTTAACAGGGAAGAAAAACATGAACAAACGTGGCCATACTGTTCCATACTACTCTGATCAAAAGAGGATCCATGTAAGTCTGATGTGTTCTTTGCTGTTGGTTACCTTTGGAGCAAGGGTAGGCAACTCCCGCCCTTCATCTGTGCTTTAACTAAAAATCCCATCATGCCTCTGCCTCTGGGAGTCATGCCTGTAATCGTCAGTCTTGCAATGCCCCATGGGACTTGTAGTTCTACAAAAGGTTTTCAGTACAGCAGCTACAATACATTAAACAATTTCCCTTTTAATTGCGCTGGTGGGTCACACCAAAGTATTTTATATCTGCCTGGGGTTCAACTTCAAAGGAAAGCATATAATGCTGGTGTACTTCATGCACTAAATATAATGTGAAAGCTACAGCCGGCTTCCCTTATTTTAGCAGTACTGTACCGGGAACGTAGAGCTATGTCGAGGGCTACATGCTTGTGTTACTGTAAAATGTGCCGAGGGAAGCACTTTACCCGCCCACTGGCTTCTCATGCTATACTTAACCACACAGACCGGCATTAGGGTGACGCAGCTGCTGTAATGAACCGTATTAGGCAATGCAACTCGCATGAGCAGAGAACTAATCGCTATTCATTCACCATTCCTATGCTGCCCTTCCATTTTTCCAGGAATTCCCTTAATCAATAAAACTTCCCAATTCAAACAGCTAACTCCTGAAAGAGCCACAATGGCTGTCACAGTCTGAGTTAAATGTCCTTTCAGTGTCACACCTTCATAATGGAATACGTATTTCCAAAAAAAAAAAAGCCACACAATTCTACAAAAACTTTTTAAAAACTTTTGGAATGTTCCAAAATTTTCATCTAGTTGACCAGTTAAAAAAAATAAATCTTGTTTTTAAGTTTGATTTTAATTGACACTTAAAGGATTTACAATATAAACATGAACCATTGTCTGGTTTATCAGTTTGCAACACTGTAAGAATTTAGATCTCTAGAATGCAATGTGATCATAGAGAAGATAAAATTTTTGTGCAGGTGTTAAATCGTATTGCCAGTGGTACATTAGGAAAAGGACCAATGTGGAAATTCGGTACGTACCCTGCGGTCATGGCAATGTTGTAAAAAGTAAGCCATGCTGTGGCCACCGCGCCGATCCGCTTTTTTTTGGTGTTTTCCTTCTCCTCCACAGCCCCATCGTCCTCACTTGATGCCATGGCTTCACAGGCAAAGGCTGCAGGGTCAGGCTGAAGTTTGAGTCACAGCTGACAGCTGGAGCTGACAAATCTCACAGACGGTGGCACATGGCTCCTCCAATAATAGAGCACAAGGGAGGAGCAATTTAATAGCTTTGTCTTTTACTGTGTGGAAAAACAGCAGAGACATGTTTAGTCAATTCGAGAATGAATGAAAATTGCCAAGTTGGCCACACACAGACAGATTTTGTTTCAGATCGGATCTGTCAAATCAACCCAAGGCAGTAAGAGAACTCAACAACAACAAGAGGACCCTAGTAAACTCACTTGGATTGCTACCTTATGTTCCATGGAACACTGAAAAGAGGGGCTTGTCTAAAATGAGCATTAGTCAGTAGGTATGGATCTTTCCCCTTTAGTAAAGTGGACCTTTGAATGTCACCCTGGATTTTATTGGCTTTGTCATATCAACCCAATTTATCAGGAGAAGGTAGTAAGAGGACTCAACAACAACAAGAGGACCCTAGTAAACTCACTAGGATTGCTACCTTATGTTCCATGGAACAGAAAAGAGGGGCTTGTCTAAAATGAGCATGGGTCAGTAGGTATGGATCGTTCCCCTTTAGTAAAGTGGACCTTTGAATGTCACCCTGGATGTTATTGGATCTGTCAAATCAACCCAATTTATCAGAAGAAGATAGTAAGAGGACCCACTCAACAATCTATACAAATTCCATACATGTAAACTCATTAGGGTAATCCATGGAGAACCAAAAAGAGTTTATTCAAACTGAGCATGGCTCAATTGAAGTTGACCTATAAAAGTCACCCCAGATGTTATTGGATCTGTCAAGTCAACCCAATTTATCAGATGGTAGTAAGAGGACTAAGTCAACAATCTATTCAAATGCCATTCCTGTAAACTCACTAGGGCTACTTTTTCTTCCATGGAAAACTGGAAAGAGGGGCTTGTTCAAACTGAGCTTGGCTCAACAGATTCACTTTTAGTGAAGTTGACCTTTAAATGTTACCCCTAGTCCCCGAGCAGCAGCCACCTACCAAAATTCTTACCTGTAGATGTGCTCCTTAGTTCTTTGCTCCCCTCCATGGCTATTGCAGGAAGAAGCCCCAGCTTCTTTTTTACATGTGTGCACTGGTTGGCAATTAATTCCTTTAGCTCACCCATACTCTTGGTGGCCCTGTGTTATCTGGAGCGGTATGGCGCAAGCCATAGGTAAGAATGGGCTAAGTATATTATAAAAAAAAATTCTTACACATGCAGGTTTGCTGGAACTGACCATATGTGCCGATCTTCACAAAAAATTGTCAGGAGCTATTAAATGACCAGAAACAATGTTAAAAGCGGACAGGTGGCAGCCCAAGACTCACACTAGACAGCTGTTGCTAAACTTTGTTGATCTGGTGAATCCAGATTGACCAAATTTATTCTGTGTGCAAACCCAATACTGAAATCAGGGGTGGATGTATATAATTTGTGCAGCTCTGCAGCTACATGAGGTCCCCTTGGAATTTAGGGGTCCTATTACAGGAGGGCTGGGCAGGTGCTGGGCTTCCTTTATGCTGTCATGTAGATCTGGACTACTAGAGCGTGTAAGAAGTAGGAGGCGTTCTTCATTTTGTCCTCACAACAAAGTCCAGATCCCATTCACACTGCCACGGTCTCAAAACCACAAGGTATATGTGGTGCCCAGGTGACCACACGGATGGCGCCGTGCAAAACACTAATAGTAAATAAAAGTAAATCACTGTATGACAGTATGTGACATTGGGTATTGAATAAACATATCAATACTTTAAAAACCCTTCAAGTGTATGCCGGTGATTTACTTTTATTTACTTCATTTTGTCCTAACTGTTCTCCTGGTCTGTAATATTTATGGTTTCAAATTGTAGCCTATCATTGCATTCTCAAAGCTGAAGCACACCTTAGGGGACAGGACCTCAGACCAGATACCACCGATAGTTAGGAAACCTTTAGGGCCCAACATTTCCAGTGTATCTATGCTTACATGCAGCACTAAGTGGCTTTCTGAGTGGGTGCGCCATAGCTCAACCCCATCACAACAAATTGCTCTACAACCGTCATTCTCCCCTTGTCTCCAGACTCACACAAAGGGGGCATCACCACCCTCTTTCTGCTCTTTATGGCAGTGCTAAATGGATGAAAGATCATTGCTCCTATACATGCTATAGATAATTTTTTTTCTGGAACTTGTGATGCATTAACATGGGGTTTCTCATAATCAGTTCACTTGCATCATCAACAGCTGCACTTTACTGTTTAGCAGTCCTTGCTAGAGAGCTGGATAACTCTCTTCCTAACCCCCCTTCCCAGAATTCTTTCAACTGTCCCAGAGAGAACACAGTCTCTGACTCAGTGTTCATGCAGGACGAGGAACCCCATCGTGTGTTTACATGATAGGCCAAGTATTACCTTATCTACCACACATCGGCAATGTCTCTCCTACGGTAGTCCAAAAAGTTGAAGATGTAGTAAGAGGATCCTAGAGTCCATGATGATTTTTAATCACTTCATATTAAGGTAACATGAGATAAAACAGCTAATGTATATTGTGGGCTCGCACACTCTCTTTTCATCACAGCTTAAAAAATGTATGAGCTTGAAATGGTTGGACGCAAGAAAAGAGTTAACTGAAGACATTTGTCCCGGATAGTAGTTCAGTAGCTAGTAGTGTAGCATAGTATGTTATACTGCTAGATACTATTCACATACTTCCCAACTGCACCTGATTTGGAACCAGATCCTTCTGTCCGTCTTCCTTCCTCAGTTGTCCCTCTTTAATGTTCTGATGTACAGATATCTATGAAAATGTTCTATTATCCACTATGACCTTCTTAAAATCCCTTAATTATCACATTCGCTATTTTGAAAAGCCAGTATAAAGAAAAGATAATGGTGGAAAACACAATTCTGGGTTTGACCAATCATTTTTAGCATATACATTCTTAATGGTCGGCATAACCGGGGACGTGACGTCTATTACCTAAATACATTGTCCTGGAAGGTGTCCCTCTTTCTCATCTCAGAAAGTTGGGAGGTATGTATCCAGGTACTGATAACCACCTTCCAACTCATTCTCCAATTCTACAAAATAGGGATGCACTGATATCGGTTTTTCAGTATCGAGTATGAGTACCGATATCTATATTTTGGTATTTGCCAATAGCAAGTACTGATACTGGTACTTCCGCTAGCATGGAAGCCAGCTCCATGCTTTTTGCTGATTAGCCGGGACTTCCAAGCCAATTAGCATCAAGTCGGCTTCCCGGCCAATCAAGAAGCTGGGAGGCGGGACATTACATGATTGGCAGGGAAACTGGCTCCATGCTGTTTGGCCGGATCGATGCTGATTGGCCAAGAAGCCGGCTTCCCAGTCAATCAGCATGGAGCTGGCTTGCCAGCCAATCATGAAGCTGGGAAGCTCCATGCTGTTTGGCCGGCTTGATGCTGATTGGCTGGGAAGCCGGCTTCCTGGCCAATCAGAATAGAGCCAGCCAAACAGCATGGAGCCAGCTTCCTGGCCAATCAGGATTAGCTGCCTGGCTTCCTGATTGGCCAGGAAGGCCACTCCATGTTCCCTCGCGGCACTGCCGGTCAGAGGAAATCTCCCTCTGACCGGAAGTTCCGGTATCGGGGCAGGTATCGGAGGATTTGGGCGAATAGGATTACTCTCCCAAATACTCGGTATCGGCACTGATACCAGTATCGGTATAGGTGTTCCCTAATATGATAAAACACCCCCTGACCTCTTCACCCAGCACTGTGCATGCTCCAGTGCTGGAGTACGAGCCCGCGGCTGGCTGGTCTTATTGCTGGCTTTCTTTGTGATGAGACAGTTTTCTAGACTAGTGAGGTTCCCACCGCTGTATGGCCAATGGAAATGGCAGCATTACCCAGACAATGACCTTGGCACCCAAAGGTTGACC